AATCTTCTCCTCTGCTACAGCAAAAGAACAGCTCTGAAATTAAATTATTGGCCTCCAAAGTGTGCCATAGATACCATGTCTAATTTGAAAGCTGCTCTTGGGCCGAAATATTATCAATGAATAATTGGTGCACAAGTCATATGAAGCTACTGTATAGAAAAGAACTATATGAAAATTATAATTTTTATAAATAATGATCACCACCAATAAATAAATACACCCGCGTATTTAAAAAAAAAAAAGTTAGTTTTTCTCATTCGATTTGACACTTTTCTCCAATGCAATGTACTTGTTCTCAAAACAATTAGCACAGCCATCCAAACACAAAATTATCTTAACCAAACAGTTCAACTTTACTGCAAAATGAAGCACTGCAATTTTTTCTAGTAATGTACTTATTAAAAGTAAATATTAATATCAAATCTATAGGTGTGTTCTCTATTGATTATAAAACACATTCAGCTGTAGATGCACAAATATGCTAATGAAAATACATGTTTATTGCAATTTTTCAACAGGGAGTTTTGTTTTACATATATTGTCTAAACAAAATAAAAATTGTTCCAACACCAACACCTGCTATCACCCATGAGAAAAAACGAATTGCCCCTTTAAACTTAAAATCTGTTTGTGCCACCTTTAGCAGCAAGAACAAGGGGGGCTGAATACTTTCCGTACCCACTGTATATAGGCTTTTTCAACTGGTGAACATACTAGTGTTCTAATAATTTTGGCCACCACTGTATATACACACACACACACACACACACACACACGTGTGTTTGCTGTATACATTATTTATCCTGAATTACTGATCTTGCCTTTCATTTACATCTGGAAGAGAATTTCATTGCATTTTATCTAGACTACATATTGTCACAGGTACTGTGCTCTAAGGAGACAAGCGCACGACGCAGGAGTAATCCAGCACACAAGCTTTAATTCCAACTTCAACTCAAGAGAATAACCAGGAGACTGATAAATCAGAAACATCTAAGAGCAAACTAAACATGACGGTGAACGGACAAAGAAATTGAGGAAAGGCAGGGCTATTTATACTAAACCAAACGATCGACTAATAAGATGATTAATGAACACCGGTGGAAACTAACGAATGATGATTAACTAAATGAGAACAGGAATAGAACCAAATAAGGGCAGACAGGAACTAAACAGAAACACGCACACGACAGCTATCGCCCCCCCGTCCCGGAAAGCGTGTCCAGCGCCGTAACAGTAACATCGGGGAGGGGGGCGGGCGCCCTGAGTGCAGGCTGGTGCAGGACAGGAACAGGGCCGAGACAAGGAGAGCCTCCAGGGCGGATCTGGGCGCTCCGGGAGCCATGGCAGAGCAGGCAGTTCAGGTTACCATGGCGGATCCTCCGTGGTCGGCCACAGGTATATGGCCCCCCCGAAAAAAATTTTCTTGGGGAAAACTAGGAATCCTGGGGGGCGCTCTGGAGGAGCGGGCTCTGGGGCTGGAGCCGACACTGGAGCGGGCTCTGGGGAAAGGATGAAGGTGGAGAACTGTCTTTCTCCTCGTCCTCCTTTTTGGTTAGCGGTGAATGTAGCGGCCACAGGGCTTGACAGTGATGCGGCCGCGGGTTCTGGGCTGAGGATCGGATTGGTTCGGGGAGCAGGAAACGGAGGATGGACAGCAGATTTCGGTGCTGACCGGACAGATGTTATAGCGGTGTCCGCAACCTTAGCCCCCAGGTCAGCACTGTTAGAAACCCACTTCCGGGGTCGGGGAAACACAGGAGGATAGGTATGGTCGGGACCAATGGCCAGGTATGTGGAGGATCTCAACATGGGGTGAGCTGGCGAGGCCCAGAGGTTTTCAGAAGGGGCTGGATGAGAATGGCTTTTAACTTCTCCAACCTACTCTACTTTTAAATATAGCCGTTTAAATATAGGATTAAATTTATTAACTCAAACAAAGATAAGTCACAAACAGTAGAACGACAACGAATAGTGTTTTCATCCAGTCCCAACTGAAAACAGGCACATAGAGAGGCATCAGGCCAGCCCACTTGATGGGAAAGCTCGATGAATTCCTCCACATACCTTTCCAGAGGGTGACCACCCTGTCGCAGGCAGCACAACTGGTCCTCAGCCCAATCCATCTTGTTTAAAGGTCCGTTCATCTGTCACAGGTACTGTGCTCTAAGGAGACAACCGCACGACGCAGGAGTAATCCAGCACACAATCTTTAATTCCAACTTCAACTCAAGAGAATAACCAGGAGACAGATAAATCAGAAACATCTAAGAGCAAACTAAACATGACAGTGAACGGACAAAGAAACTGAGGAAAGGCAGGGCTATTTATACTAAACCAAACGGTCGACTAATAAGATGATTAATGAACACAGGTGGAAACTAATGAATGATGATTAACTAAATGAGAACAGGAATAGAACCAAATAAAGGCAGACAGGAACTAAACAGAAACACACATATGTGACACATATGTGCTGCGCTTGCATCATAGGAGAAAAAAAAAAAAAAATGTAAGAAGTTTGAATCCATGTTTGAAAAGCTCCTGTCTCAACATCTCCACAGGCCTCTTCCTTTGAGGCTGGTGATGTTGTTCTGGACCACTATGTCAACAATGCTGCTGTTCTTGATTGTCCACCTGAATGATCTCAAACTTAAATTCTGAAAAATGTTTGGACATTTACAGTAAATAACAGAAGTTGTCCCAGGAGGACTAAGAATATGTACTATCAACAATCACAGTCCCAGGCTTGGTTGGAAGAGGTGGGCCAGAGTGCGGTTCAGTTGGCTTGGGCACAGTACGCATGTAGTGTGAGCGCTATACGTGGAGCATGATTGCGTTAACATTTCTGAGCGGCAAAATTGATAGATCTGTAAAGCAATATATTGTGAGAGGGTTGTGTGACCACATCCCGAATGACTCAAAATAATAAACCACAAAGTTAACAAAACGATGCACTCCACTGTGCTGAGCGAGAGCGCTTCTCTGCTGTCTTCACGTGCTATCGGAAACTTCCTATTTCCCACTTATGAAGTCGTGATTACGAGCTCGTTGTATTTTTTCTGCTAAAAATAACGGTGTAAAGTGGTTTGTGAATGTTGATGCTTAGCCTAAATAATTTTGTGGTGAGCGCTTCATGTGAACGCTGCTGCAGTCTTAGGCCCAACCCAAATGCTCTCGGTGGTTGAGACGCATGATGACGCCCATCCCAAGCCAGTACTGATCAACATCACACCCCTCCTGTGACCCATGGTTTTTCTGTGTGTATTCAGAGCCAGTGAGCAACGGACTTTCAAAATAATAATAATAAAAACACTGCGTTAATGCGCTAAAAAAAATAATTGTCGGCGTTAATTAATTAATGCGTGTGACGAGTGGGGGTGGGGCCGAGAGCCGTGGGAACAGAGCGAGGCCGGTGGAGTAATTGATAATGAGCGACACCTGCACCATTCACCGGTCTCGAGTCTCACGGAGGAGCTCCGGAAGGATAAAAGGAGGAGCTACGACAGTGAAAGACGAGAGAGGACC